TGAGTCAATTAAACCTCTTTTATTTATATATTACCCAGTCTCAGGTATTTCTTTATAGCAATGTGAGAACAGATTACAATACCTTATTTGATTTCTGCTCTCTATCCTTTCTAGCATGGCTCCCTCCTTTGGGCTTCCACAGTAGTCTATGCATATATCTAGCAATTGTACTTTTTTCAATGTATTTTAACTGTTTATGTATCTTTCTCCCTCATGAGATGATCAGGAATAATTTTTAATCTATCATTCCATATCTGCCTCTCAGTCCTATGCTTGGCATATAACAGATGCTCAGTAAAATTTCTTGGAGCAGATTTAATGGAGGTAATAGTTGAAACTGTGGGAGAAAGTGAAATCTCCAAGAGAAAGATAAATTTACTGTGATTTTCATGTATATTTTTATTTAAGAAGCCAGGTTAAACTCACAGGAAAAAGTTAAAGTTGATTGATTTATGTTTTCTTTCTTAACAAGTATTCCTGATTGCATTCATGTCCTTTGTTCATTCCCTCTTAATTTACCAGTAGCATGTCTTCATCTGAAACGGAGTTATTGTTTGCTCATTTTTATTTAAATTCACTTAAATATTAAGTTAAACCATAAGAAATCATTTTTCATGGATCAAACATAGATATTGGCAATTTTTATGGTTCAACCCAAAGTATAAGGATTCAGAGCTAAATAGCTTCGTTGCATCCGTTTACTGTATTTTTACACAGCTCACATAGTCTATGTTTCTTGGTATGAGTAACTTTTATAGTTGATGTAGATCATCTCAATGCACGTACTGCCTCGGGATGTAATGAAACTTCAACCCAGGTACTATGTAAGTAAAAGTTGGGAAGTCATGCATCAGAAAAGCCTCAGAATGGACTTTTGTATTCTGTAGAAAAGTGAACTGTATTACTGCCTCCATGTTCACTCCCAACTTTCAATTTCATGGCTCTATGAGAGTTAAAATAATGTAACATTATTAAAATGTTAATTTGTTCCTTTATGCCTATCCCACAATTGAATTTTCAAGTAGTTGATTACATTTCTCTCTGTGGATTCAGGAAACCGTTAGTCTCACATTATCTAATTTACTAAACATATTTTGGCCCTTACAACTTTTCCATTAGTCATTCCTAAACACATTTAGCACAAATGAATAAGACGATATTTGATGTTAATGAGCATTGCTTCCTCGAGGCAGAGCAACCCGGGACTGCAGGTACAGTGGGAAACCAAATGTTAGGATTGCAAAACCTTGGAACACTGAACCTATAGACCTCTGCTTGGGCAAATTCGATCTTATCAGAAAAGGTAACCTACTATTAATATGAACATTGACGTTAAGATGAATTTCAGTGTTATTATGTATGTTGGCATTAAGATGAATTTCAGTGTTATTATGAATGTTTGTGTTAATATTTTATTTACAGCTGACTCCTTAATTCCTTCTAACTTTTAAACTTAAAACAATCTTTGAAACTAAATGAGCTGAAAATACCTTTTAAAAGAAGAAACACATTTAGATTCTGGTGCACAGCAAATTCCCTGTGAATAAAAGTTCCAAATTTGTGATTCTATTTGCATTTCCATAAACACAGTCTTTGTGCTTATTATGTGACAAATAACAGTGTTAGAAATGGGGTGTTTTAAGACTCTAATTATGCATATGTTCCCATTCTCATTGGTGCATGTATTGAAATGTAAAGCTATACAAAACTTGTACTTTGGGTTCAAGAGCTTTCTTTTTTTTAAGCCGATATTTTAATGAATTTTAACTAACATTGACTTCATTTAAAGGAATTAAAATATTAAGAAGTTTAAAAGGTGCTAAGGTGCCACTGCTCCTTGGGAAGCAGATTCTGAAATGCAGATGAGCGTGCAAAATGTGTGTTAAGAAGTGTCCTGGGGGTCAACATCCGGAAAGGGAGGGAAGAAGCCAAGAGTGGGGAAAGGGAGAAGTTGAGCTGTGACGCAAGCCCGACAAAGGTATCAGTCAACATCTCAGTGAGCTCCCTGGCTGACCTGAGTCTTTTCAATTGGCCAAATCAGGCATAGGGGAGTATCCTCCAGATCTCACATTGATCAGAGAGATTGGATTGTAGACCCCCAAGTTCTCACACTCACATGAGAGTTCCAGGTCCCAGGCATGGTAAGGAAGGAGCAGAGAGTTCCAGAACAGAAAAGACCGTGTGGTCTAGACCACAGATGAATTACGGGTAGTTGGTACGGACAAGGTCGTTCACACCTGAAGAAGAATCCCAGTAGCCCATCACATGACCAACACACACGGGTTTGAAGCTGACTGTGGTTATGTTCCTATATCTCTTGCTAAATAAACATAAATTCAAATTAATTAAAATTTAATAAAAGCAAAACTTTAGTTTCTACATTGCACTAACCACATTTCAAGTGCTTAGTAGCAACAGGCAGCTGGTAGCTATTGCGTTGGATAGCACAGAGCATTTCCACCAGAAATATTGAGATAGTAGGAAATATTGAAAAACAGAATTGCAGAACATTTTGCTGGACAGCACTGCTCCACATGTATTACACAGGCACATCTCTCGGAGGTCTTGCTGCCTGCCTGGGATACTTCCAGGAGGAGGCCCTTCCCCGCATTCTCTCTCTCCTTCTCTAAATCTAAGGAGAGTCTCTTTTTAATCTCCATAAAACACTAAGAAATACCTTCCCAATTCTATCTTTTACATTTATAATTGACATCTGATTTGGTTAACTATAACTGGAATCAACAGCAACTGAAAAGTGTTTTCATTCCCTTAAGAGAAGGGCAGGATATCAGGAAATATTTAGATTCATCCCACTCATTCAGTTAAAGAAAAAGAAGAAAACCAGTTGTTCTCATATTTAAACCATATAGACATTCATACCCTGCCACAGTAACATCCACAAATATAACATTGGTCAGCAAAAAATTAATGGAAAGCAATACAATTACATTAAGTCTATTTTAAAACCTAGAAAATGCAACATTTTAGACTTAGCCTACTCCAAAATAAACCATGTTTGATAATACAAACCTGCTCCGTTGGGCAAACCTTTCTGTGAGTCACCTTGTTTAATTATTCAGTAAACATTGTTTTGGTAGCTTTAGTTGCCAATTCTTCCATAGCATTCTTCTATGAGTTTTTGTAATGTGGACTGCATCGCTTTTGAAACATTTCTGAACAAACCCTTCTAGCCTTGGTATTTAAAGTTTTTAGTAACATTCATTATTTTTTTCTTCTGGAGCTTCAGTAAAAGTCTTACCATCACATAAACCACTTGTGATTATTCTCTCCCAGTCTAGTGTTCAAAGCTTATATTGAAAGGGTGGAGGTGAAGATCTTTCCACATCACATATACACCCTCCCATGAGACCCATGGGAACAGGAAGATATACTTCTTATGTTCATGGTCTCCAGTGAAAGGGAGCTGCACGACATCACACATACATACACGTGTTGCATTTTTACAAAATATAATTGAAAATTATACAACTGCACCATGTAAAAAAACTAGTCTGGCACCACTGTATGATGTTGACACAGGAGGACTGCCATCTAGGTGTGGGCATCCATCAGAGCCCATACCTCCCCGAGTTTGATGCTGCAGTCTCAGACTGGGAATCATTTCTTCATTGGTTCATTTATAATTTATTTATTGAAGCATACAGATGATAAACAATGGGCTAGGCTTTGGGGGTTTACTGGAGCCTAGAACCAAGAATCTCTAATTAAATAAGAAACAAATTACCCATGTATTAATATGATTAAGTGACCAACACTTCAGTATAGTAAAGCTTAGATAGGAGAATGTGGCTTAGTGTTAAGGTGAAATTGGGGCTTCCAATGCCCTTCCCAAATATATACTGTAAATCGAGATACATGCCTGAGCCAGTAGATGGGAGGCAGATGATGACAGACCCTTGAAGTCCAAGCCTAGTCTTTTCCCTAATCATTTGCGCGAGCCTGGATCACAGCTGTGCAGCACACCAAGTCTCAGGCAGAACAGAGAAAGGCAGATAGCCCCACCCTTGAGATCAATGACCCTGCCCATCAGAGAGACGTGGCAGGTGAATGAGTCATTCCCCTGCCATAGAGAAGGGCCTGGTGAGGGTGGAGAGGGGAATGGACACCCACTCAAGGTCACTCTACTTAAAAACAAAGGGCAGATGCCATATTGGTCAATGGACCCAGGCACATGAGAAGAGAGTTTTTAAACTTATCTCCTCCTGCTAGCAATCCCTGTCTCATAGGAATGTTTAGGGGTGGGGAAATTAAATAAAATACAGTGTTGATATTGGTAGGTGTGTGCCTAGCACACCATTGGAGTCTGACAAGTAGCAGCAGGCTCTCTTTTCCTTCCCCTCTCTGATATCTTAGGAGTTTCTTGAGAGGAGGTATTGGGTCTGAATAATTTTTGCAGTACATTTGTTGAATGGAATCATTTTACTTATTGAGACTTCAACATGGTTACCACTGAGCTTATTTAGTTTAAAAATGTTAGAATTATAGGATTTTTTAGACCAAAAAAGGGGCCTTTCAGATCATAAACCAATTCCTTCATTTTACAGAGGAAGAAACCAGGGCCCAGTGAGCTGGGAGAATGAGGATTCAAGCTCCCATCTCAGAGTGCTTTCCACATTTCACTAGGAGCACCTCAAAGGCAGTGTTTCCATCACATCTGTATCCCCAACACCCCACAAAAGTATCTGGCATGTTGTTGTCTCTTAGATAATATTTGTTAAATACATTAATTCACCATATCTCCTGCTTGGCCTTTGACAGTTGTAGATAGCTTGTGGCTTTGCAAGACTATTATGATAGATACAATTCGTGATGTAACCTTCTCTACACTGCATGTAAGGGCTTCAAGATTGAGTCTTTCATGGAATATGTAGAAAAAAAATTAAAATGTTTTAGTATCTTTTAAAATACATATATGTATGTTTTTAAAGGTACATCAAGGAGTAATTCACCACGTGGTATGTGTTTCATTTTTATTTTAGGTAGGAGAAGTAATCACAGGTGGTCAACGAGCATTCACATCTGTGAAAACTACCTCGGACAGGAGCAGAGAACACATAAACACAAGGTACCACCCTCCCAGTCTGTCCTTAGCTGTATGATATTGTTCTCTTCATTGTCATTTGTTGGTTGGAATGCAGCTTCCAAAATTATACAATTATTTAAAGTTCTGAGATGATTCATACCATGAATGTTAATGTTTGTTTCTCAAACCATAGACTCTTGCTTTGTAGGGCTCCTGATCCCTAAAATCAAATCTGTGTATATACAGGTCCCAATGTGTCGCCATGGTATAACATGACTGGTAATGTCAACACCAATGACGGCTAACGTTTACCAAGTGCTTGCTTCGTGTCAGGTGCTATTCTGTGTGGTTTACCCATATTCACACATTTAATCCTCGTAATTTTTATGCTCAATTTCCAGTTAGGGGAGCTGAGGGAGGGAGAAACTTAGAATGTACTGAAGGTCATGTAGCCGTGACATGCTGGGACAACCTCACTGGTACCGTTGCTGTCACTGCCTCCCTTTTAAGATCTGTGTGTCACTCCACAGATGCCTCAACTCTCAACGGCACTAGGGCCCCTCCTGTCAATCTCCTGACTGTTGGTCATTTTCTGGCCTTTGCTTAAATTCCTTTCCCAACAGGACCCTCATCCTCTCAAGACAGTATTCATTCCCTTCTTGGTATCCTCTACTGTTAGACAGCCTCTCTCTGTCTCTCTTTGATTCCTAAGTGAAGGTCCAGGCTCTGCTTCCTGGAGACCGTCAAAACCAAGCCAATCTCCCTTAAGCAATGACATCCCATAAAGTAATTTGCACAAAGCTCTCCCCTTTCTCAGTTCTTCTCTAGAATGAGATCCCAGTTCTTCCAACTGTCCTTCTGCTTCTTATGATTTTCAGACTCTTATCATCCAGATGGTAAAATCTATTTTGAAGTAAAGCAAACTATCTTTGTGATACAAATGTATATGCTAGAATTACCATCATAAAAATACCTGAACAAGAGCTATATTTATGTGTTGCATAATAAAGCAGTCAGGCATTGGTATGTTCAAAGACAACTGCTGAACTTTTGTAGAGATTTTTAAACATGGGGTTTGTTTGAACAACAGGTATGCAATTGAATTCCTACTGAAAAACGGGTTGCTGTTTTTAACCTTGGAAATCCACTCTATTTCCCAGCTTAGTGATTTCCATTGCACATACAAGATTCACGGGTATTATGTCTATTATGAATATTCACAGTCATAATTAACCCCCAGCAGCATCAACACATGGAGAGAGTCTGAATCTAATTTGTGAGGAATCAGCAATGGAAAGTCAAATCATTGCAAACAGTTCAGAGCTGGTTTTCAGACCCCAGGAAAACTATCATTACTGTGATTACACTTGAGGATTCAAGATGTCTTAGCACGATTCTTCATAGCAGTCCCTCCTGTGGTATTTTTGCAAAGCCTTTCTTTTTCATTTTGATGACTGAGAAATGATCACACCACAGTCACATATAAAATCCCTGTGGGAAGGTAGTTGTGTGGTGCTCCTTCATCACTGGCAAACTCTATTGTGCGCGTTATCCCAGCCTCAGGCCAGGCAACTGCATTAACCAAGCAGCTGCCCGTTCAAGCTGCTCACGGGAACTGAGATCAGGCAGGATTGTTGGTTTTAGGCAAAGGACTATGGATGCAGCGGTCCACCGGGAGGGCCACAAGAGGCCCCTTGACCCTCTCTTGGCAGAGTGGTTTGTTTCTCATGCTGGGGAGAAAGTGAATGGAGGGGGAAGAGAAACTGGGGTAGGGTTTTATTCATCAGGACTGGAGGGTAACACTCAGTGACCTCTTGTGCCCTTAACACTGTAAAATGAAAGAAGATGCACAAATTCCTCCAAATGAAGGGATTTATTGAGTGCTGACTCTGCTACATAATGTTATGTGTTGTCTGTCTTTCATCTTCAAGAATAAAACTGCAGATAAATACTATTATTTATAATTTACTGAGATTGAGAGATGGCATTTGCCCAAGATGTCAAAGCCAGTAAGTGGTAGAACCAGGATTATACAACCTCAGACTTGTCTTCTTCTTCTTCTTCTTTCTTGTTTATTTTATTTTATTTTATTTATTTTATTTTATTTTATTTTTTTTTTTTTGAGGCAGAGTCTCGCTCTTATCAAGTGCAGTAGCAGGAGGCTAGAGTACAGTGGCAGGATCTCGGCTCACTACAACCTCTACCTCCCAGATTCAAGCGATTCTCCTGCCTCAGCCTCCCAAGTAGCTAGGACTACTGGTGCCTGCCACCATGCCTGGTTAATTTTTATATTTTTAGTAGAGATGAGGTTTCGTAATGTTGGCCAGGCTGGTTTCAAACTCCTAACCTCCTGTGATCCGCCTGCCTTGGCCTCCCAAAGTGCTGGGATTACAGATGTGTGCCACCGCACCCGGCCAGGCTTGCCTTCTGAATCTCTTCCTGGTGTCATTTGATGAACAGAAGATTTTGATTTTAAAATAATTAAAATTATTAAACTTTTTTATGGTTAATTATTTTATGTTTGTTCTGTTGTAGAAATTCTATCCTGCCCTGAGGTCATAAAGGTAGTCCTTTATGTTCTAAGGCTTTATACTTTTGCCTTTCACATTTAGGTATAATTTGAGGAAACATCTAATCCATCAGGAATTAAGTTTGTTTAAAGTATGACAATTTAACATGTTTAAAGTATGACAATTTAATTTTTCCCAGTGTGGACACCCTACTGTCCCTGTGTCTCTTATTAAAATGGTTATTCTGTCTACATTAGTTACCAAGGCCACCTCTGTCATAGACCAGGTGTCCACATCTGTATGGGTTTGCCTCTGGTCTCTATTCTGCTCTACTTCCTTAATTTCCATAGTCTTATAATGAGTTTTATAACTGGCAGGAAGTATCCTCTCACCTTGTTCTTCTTGAAGAGTGAGTTGGCTAATTTTATCCCTTTGCACTTACATATGTATTTCAGAATCAGCTAAGGAAGTTTTACTCACACACAAACACACACACACAGGTATGCATTGGGATTTTCTTTGGAATTGTATTGACCACATAGATCAATTTAGGGAGAACAGTTCTTATAGTATAATATCTCTCTGTCCTTTCTTCAATCTTATTTGATACCTCTTTATAACTTTTCCATAAGCATACCAATGTTTTATTAATTTTTAGGTGTATGATATTTTGATGCTATCACAAATGTATTATTTATTTTATTTTTTTCTCTGCTGCTAGTATATAGATTGCAATTTACTTTTTCATTGTGGTAAAATTACACATTACCTCAAATTTACCATTGTAATCATTTAAAAATGTACAATTCAGTGGCATTTAGTATATTCACAATGTTGTGCAACCATCGCCACTAAGTAGTCTACTTTTGTGTTTGATTTTGTAGCCAGCAACTTTACTAATCTCTCTCATTATTTTATTAATGTATCTGTGGGTTCTTTTAGATTTTCTATATGCCTGCAAAGAATGGCAGCTTGCTTGCTTGCTTGCTTTCCGATTGATCCTTCTCTCTTTTATTTCCTCTTCATACCTTACTGCACAGGGAAAGGCTCCGGGATAGTGGTGAGTAGTGGAGTGAAGGCAGCATCTTTGTTGTTCTGCTGAGTCCAGAGGGAAGCTTTCCATCTTTTACTAGGAAGTCTGAGACATGTTATTTAAACATAGTAATTGTAGTGGTTTTATAGTTCATCTTTTCGTATTCCAATATCTGAAGTTTTTATATTTCTATTTCTGTTCTTGTTAATTCTATTGGTTCTTGTGTTTTTTGTTTGTTTGTTTGTTTTTGTTTTTTTTCCTTGAGTAGTTGTGTTTTTGTTGTTCATTTATTTGTTTTTTTGAGACAGAGTTTCTCCTTTGTTGCCCAGGCTGGAATGCGATGGCATGATCTTGGCTCACTGCAATCTCCGCCTCCAGGTTCAAGCGATTATTGTGCCTCAGCCTCCTGAATAGCTGGGACCCACAGGCACGTGCCACCATGCCCAGCTAATTTTTTGGTATTTTTAGTAGAGACAGGTTTTTGCCATGTTGGCCAGGCTGGTCTCAAACTCCTGACCTCAAGTGATCCTCCCGCCTCAGACTCCCAAAGTGCTGGGATTACAGGCGTGAGCCACTATGCCTGGCCTAGTTGTTTATTTTTTACTGTGAGCTACTGCATATAGAACAGTTCTCTGAGTGACCTTGGACCAACCCTTTCCCACTACTTCCTTAGTTGTAGTTCACAAGAATAATTGTGGAATGTGCTGGGAATACAACATCTTGAGATAAGAGGGAGCTGGCTGAAATAGCCTCAGTTCTGTTTCAGTCGCCTTCCCCACCCCGGAAACATATGTCCTTCAAAGCTTCATCCCAGTGATCATGTGGTCCAGGGGTATACAATCCAGGACGGGCTGCTTCCTGGGGTCCCTGTGCTGGGGTACAAGTGGGGCATGTGCAGAAGAGATGCCATCTGCTTCCCAGGCAGCTTTCCTGAGCTCTGGGGTGCAGGCCCTGATGCACCTGTGGTTTCTGTTGTTCTCTGCTGCCTGTCTATAAGGAATAAATCTGCTTCATGCAGCCTGTTGTATATGGGGGTGTTCTGTTTTACTGGACTCCAGCAAGTTGGTAACCAGTGCACAGGCAACTTGCTTCACACTCCACTGCCTAGGAAAATAGTCTGGTGCTTCCTTAGAGGCCTGGGAGGTACTTGGCCAGGGAACATTGGCATGTGCTGCAGAGAAAAACACTGCCAATTTGGAACCACTTTCATCTAAATTCAAGATTGAGGATTTTTAACCAAAAACTGCTATAAACTTTCTAGCTTGTAGTGACAACTCAGTTTTCCTCGGCCCCACTGAAGCAGCTTTCCTCAAAGTGCCTTGCGGAGGTGAGCAGTGGGCATTGACTTCTCGTTCACTCTTAAAACAAGAGAAGCTCTTTGGCACTGCACCCTTACTATGGAGAGGGTGTCCCGTTAGACTGCCCACCTGGCATGTTCAGGGCCTTGGCCTCTGTCTTCAGACTCCATAAGGTCAGATTGACCAAAGCACAACTTCAAG